ACTCTGCTTATTAACAACTTAATATTCTGAGCCCTTCTTACTATACAGAAATACTGACACTGTATGGGTTTACAGTAATAAATTATACTTTAAGTACCTAAAGCAGCTGAAGAATGAAACAAGTATTCCCACAATTTTATATAAAGATCTACCAGTTAAGTCCCAGACACAGAATCTAAGAATTTCTGTTGGTAGCAAAAGTATCGGTCATTTAGATTTCATAGTGCTAGTGAGCCAATGAGAATGATTGGATAAAAAAAATCAATGGAAAATATCCAGAAGTGGACTTATATTTCAGATTTCAAAAAGTCTCCCTTTCAGACTTCTACAATATCTTTTTATTTGGACCTTCTTTTCTGAAAATCCAAGAGATCCCCCTGAATATTAATTTTTTTCTAGAGAAATATTTCTGTACCTTGGATGAGATTATGAGCTATAAATATATGTACATAGTTATATACAAAATATATATTCACTTCCTGTAATTATTACAGATAGAACTGTTCTAATCAGATTGTTCAGTGGGGACACAAAGAATATGTAGTGGCGATAATGCCACTTTAAACAGGGCAGTTGTGGAAGATGCAAAATCCAGGTCAAAAAATGAGTTATGGTTGGCACTTCTGATTGAAATGGGTTCCACCTCCTCTCAATACACCATTGCCGATATGTATGTCTGTCATTTCTGTTGAGAAATGTTCATCTCGAGATTAAGCAATAACTGAAGACAGATACATGGCAACCCTAGAAATTAAACTATGATGGCATGTGAATAACTGTAAGACCTCTTTGCCTGCAGCTTGAGCTTCTGGATAGCTGGGAATACCATGTCATATCATGGCTTCCTCTACAGAGATAGCCTAAGAAGAAGTGGAAGAGGTGGACACTCCAGAATGGACTGCAGAAGCAGAAATCAGGGTGTAGTGGCCAATCTGGTGCTATCAACAGGTCCCAACAATGAAATGGAACAAATCATATTTAGTACCCTGGGTAACATATGAAGTGGAAAGAGAAGGTCTAG